TCATAGTTTCGTGAGAAAATGTAAAAATGTCTACTCGGTAGACCTATTTTTTACGCTACAAAATCTCTAGAAACCAGGAGCTTCCGGGGGCTTTGCCCCCTGGGCCCCCACTAGGGCTTTGCTCTGGTCCCAATGGGGGTCTCAAGGCCGCCCCAGACCCCTGTCTACTTTTTGCGCCCCCCTTCAATTCCTGGATCCGCGCCTGGGGGCAATCTCTCAAACTTAACAAAACTGGAAAATAATATTAGATATCAGAATATATAATTATATGAACTAAAAATTCGTGTATTTTTCTGTTTTCGTGTCTAATAAGGAGTTCATCCAACCATCAGGTGCCTGTGGAAAAGAGGCGTAGTATAACGCCTTTGAAGAAGGCGTTATAATATGTAGTGACATGCCTTAAGAAAACGTATTAACCGAAATTGAAAGTGTTTTAACGCCTTTTAAAAGTAAATAGGCGTTATTATGAGGGTTGGATCCAAAGCATCTAAATTCATGCAATATTTTAGAAATCTTTATTCTGTACCCCTGCACATATAGCAAGCAACTAATGAATACTGAATATAGCAAGCAACTAAGGAATAATGAGAAGTCAACCCTCTACTAAAATTTTGAAAATCATGACCCCTGGATCCAGAATTCAGGCCCAGGTTTTATTGAGGTCTAACCCTGTAAAATTCTCTTCTGCTATTTGTAGACATATACATGTATGTCGGGAATACCGCTGGTTTACTACATCAAACATGTTTGGGTCTATGTTGGCGTTTTCTGGAGCATTTACACATAATTTGATAAAAGTGCGCTGCTCCGTCAAATCAACATGACGTCATTTCTGCAGTTGTTTTCAAAGGGATCACGTCGGACAAAAATCACAATATTTCTCTAAGTACTTTAAACATTACGTCAGACGTCTAAATACATAATAATAGAACAATAAAAAAAGAAACTTTAGAGAAAACTGCCGAATAATATCGCGAATTACAGAAAATAAATGAGTAAAATTTTGGATTCCGCACAGTTGTTTTTCAAAATGTTTGTCGTGCTCCGCACACCACGATCAGCAAAATCAAAACAGCTATAATTTTATGAGAAGTTAATTTGAAAAATACTAAAAAATTTTTCTTTGACGTCTTTAAGAGTAAATAATGGCAGAATCCGCGTAATTTTTGAACGGTCCTCATATATACTAGAACGAAAGCCCATTGAGCTCATTTTCGTAGGTAAAAAAAAATATATTTTTCGCGTTATAACGCGAAACTTTCGCGAATAAACGCGTAACTTTCGCGTTATAACGCGAAGCTTTCGCGAATAAACGCGTAACTTTCGCGAATAAATGCGAAACTTTCGCGAATAAACGCGTAACTTTCGCGAATAAACGCGAAACTTTCGCTGTAAAACAGAGACATTTGCATAAGTCTACAGTTTGTTTTACTTTTTAATGATCTATAGTTTATTCATTACAATGAAAAACGAAAGACTATTTTGAACTTGGATTATCACAAGCTGAAATTTTATGTTTTCTCGCCATTGAATGTGTCTCTCCTCTTTCTAAATCTTTTTTGACGTCACATTTTGTCTTTCTCAATGCTGTTCAATACAAGTGTTGAAGCGTATAGTAGAGGAGCGAAAATACAAGTCTAATTTTAATTAGATTGAACACTCTCTATAGAATTTGAAATAAAAAATCTCAGAAAATTGACAACAATAGGTAAATTTCTATATTTCACGGAACAATTGTGTCACATCACATGAGTAACCTAATGTGAAAATTGGATGACAAATATTCGTATCAAATGATTCATCTCCTATGGTGGCATATTTCTGCCCCTTGTGTGCAAGTTATTTTTGTATCAAATATGTCGACATGCAAGATAAATATGTTGACATGCAAGATAGTTATGTCAACATGCAACATAACTATGTTGACATGCAAGAAAATTGCAATCAAATAAAACTTCAAAAATCTTAAATATCGCCCATATGTGACATCCAGATGCTACTTATTAGTCCCCTACCGGTGAAACCGGAGGGGACTATAGGTTTCCTCTGAGTCTGTCCGTCCGTCCGTCTAGCTGTCTGTCTGTCAGTCTGTCCCACTTGGTTTTCCGCACTTTTTTCCTAAACGCTTGCAGATATTGAGCTGATTTTTGGTATGTGAGTGTATCTTGATGAGTTACAGACCAAGTTTGCATTGCGTTCCGCTTCAATGATTTTTGACGGAATTATGACCTTTTCAATTTCTCAGGGTTTTCCGCAATTTTCTTCTGAACGCTTGCAAATTCTGAGCTGATTTTTAGTATGTGACTTTACCTTAATGAGTTATAGAATAAATTTGCATTTCGTTCCACTTCATTGATTTTTGACAGAATTATGGCATTTTCAATTTTTAACGGGAACCAGATTACACTTGCCGGTAGGGGACTAGTATTGCTAATGCAATACTCTCAGAATGCTTGTTTATGTCAACATGCTCTTTATTTATGTTAACATGCGAGATAAATATGTTGATATGCAACTTATTTATGTCAACATGCAACCTGGTTATGTTGACATGCGAGATAAATATGTCGACATGCAACATATTTATGTCGACATACAACTTATTTATGTTTTCATGCATTTTTCAGATACAGTTCTGCTATGACCTTAACCGTAGACCTTGAAACATAGTTCAAGGTCACTGCACACCCTTTAAAAGAGACCTCGGACGAACAGATGGACGGAAGGACACACTAATTACTATAGGTCGCCTGCAGAGAGGGGCCCTAAAAACGTTTTATCATCTACGGTCACGTTTCTGAATCGCCAGGATATTTCATCTAAAGAACTTCAATCTATACTTTGTTGTCCACCTCATATTAAAGAAAATAATTTAAACTGCAACATTTGCTCCAATAATTCTTCGATCATGAAAATCAACTTCAATTTTACCGACAAAAAATAAACAAAATCGTGCCTCATTGAACGTAGTTGGGTAGTAACGAATCTATCGTACACGCTCGCACAAATGTTCAAATTGTGTATCACATAATTTCTTTTGCATTTAAATTTAATCATTTAATTCAAAATCTTATCATTTTGAAAATCGATCTTATTTTAAAAAGTATATATCCAAAATGAATTCACAAATCGATCATATTCAATGTAAACCTTTTCGCCATTCCTGGGTCTTCAGACATTTACATCGATTTGTGATTTCATTTTTGGATATTTACTTTTTTAAAATTATCTACATGACATGTATATATCCGCTACTCAACATAACTAAATTGCATGTCAACATATTTATCTCGCATGTCAACATAAACAAATTGCATGTTGACATAACTAAGTTGCAAGTTAATATAAATAAGTTGCATGTTGACATAAATAAGTAGCATGTTAACATACTAAGTTGCATGTTGACATAAATAACTTGCATTAAAACATATTTATTTCGCATGTCAACATAAATAACTTGCATGTCGACATAAATAAGTAGCATCTAACAAATTGGAAGTCACATGTGGGCAATATTTGTGATTTTTGAAAGATTTTTTATAATTCTTATTTGATTGCAATTTTCTTGCATGTCAGCATAGTTATGTTGCATGTTGACATAAATATCTTGCATGTCAACATATTTATCTTGCATGTCGACATATTTGACAGAAAAATAACTTGCACACATGGGGCAGAAATATGCCACCATAATCTCCGATAGACTCACTGTAGAAATACAACATTGTATTTTAAGGTTGCACCACTTGGTCATACCATTACTTACGAAAACATTGACAATTTATTCAAAGAAAGCAACGAGTGGAGATCTTCCTGAGAAAAAAAATTAGTCTAAAGAATTTAATTTCTTGGATTCAACAAGTGAAAAACAAGAAAATCTTTAAAGGAATATTCATTTCATTAATTAGTATGGTTTTGAGATTAAATGCAAAATCAACACTAATCTATCCATTTCTCGCATCAATTCTCTTTTACATCTTCTGAAGAAATGTCATTTATAAATTCATAGAAGTCCCCCTCTGCGTTCATGCTTTTTATCTGTCAGTCAAGATCACAGGTTCCTGAGTAACATGACTATATATGTATAATTCCGCGTTATAACGCGAAAGTTACGCGTTTATTCGCGAAAGTTACGCGTCATAACGCGAAAGTTACGCGTTTATTTACGCGTTTATTCGCGAAAGTTTCGCGTTATAACGCGAAAAATTTAATTTTTTTTACCTATGAAAATGAGCTCAATGGGCTTTCTTATACTAGTATACAGTCATATAGAAAAATAAAAAAAAATACAGATATGTTATATAAATAATTATGTACTCAATGATTAAGAGTATAGTTGTGCTTCATTTAAAATATGCTGAACGAAATGCTAACGATTTAGCATATACTTTTCCACCAGGTATCCATTTGAGGAAACCCGCGTCTTTATCATGTTTATTGTAGTTTGGAAACATCCATTTTCAGTGTTTTTGAAGCTTGGACGCCATGAACTTCAATAAGATAGTTTATTTGGTTTCCAATTCTTGTTGGCCCGATGCATTAACCTCTGTCATTCTCATGTCGTCTTTCTTTTTCAATTTTTGAATTTAAAAAAGGGGGGAAGTACTTTCTGTTGCGATCGCTTGCGCGTGTGAATGTATCTCGGGACACGACATCGGTCGTAAAACACACACGCTCGCAATGTCACAATGGGAATATAACATGTGTGTTGGAATTTTATTTACACTACTTCAATGTCCAACAGTCATTGAAAAGCTATTTCTGCTGAGTTTGAAATAGATGAAATATTTTGTTGCTAATGACTAACATCACGCAGACAAGCACCGCCATATAGTCAGGAACAAATGTTTGTCGGGAGCTTATTTCATACAGCTAGTTTACCATTCAATAATAGCAATATCAATGTACATCCCACTGACAATGATTTCAAATTTAATATCGAAACAGCAGAATTCCAGAAAGTAACAATTTCTTTTACAGAACACATCTGACCAGAACTATTCATCTTCTCACTCATTTATTATGCTTCAGTTTTTCACAAGTATTAAATATGGAAGAAATAATTTGTTTGCAAAAATATCAGAGGGACGGATTAATAATAATATTCAAAAAGAAAATAATAATCATAAAATATATATCTCAGGTGTCTGTGCATAAAACAATTATACTGTACAATGTTAATAAGTCGGTTTATCAATGTACCTGTCACAGTTTTGTTCATCAGAATAAGATACAGCTGGTCTGTATATGGGACAATGACACAGTTCCCATCATCATATACATGTTTTTATGTTTACTATATTTGGCATTACACTACCCTGTTTGATAATGCAACAGACTAGTTTTTTTCTTCTTCAGTCTATATATAGTGCTTTGGCACACATACAAAAAAATCTTATGCAGTTGTTCAAATCAGGTGCTGCAAAGTAGTATAATTACTTACATTATTCAGTGACTAAAAAATGTGCCCTACAAAATTTTAGAGAAAAATTCAAATGGCTCATCATGAAATGGAATATGTTTCCTATTTGGCAACAAAGCAATTTAAAATGTAACAAATGCTGAACACAAGTTTTTTCCCTATTTCAATGCTGCAAGAACCAGGCTGTTCTCCACACCCCCCACAGCTAGTAATCGTCCCCCCATCACAGTGTCCAGGGCTTGTACAGGGTGATGCAACTGTATTTTACCAATAACCTGATCGAAAAAGGGAGACAATTCAATATTACATAAATTACAGAACAAATATCTGTCAATTCAAAATCAGATGAACATAAGTTGCAAGCCAAATTCAAGAGTAAAACTGTTTAACTCCAGAAGAAAGTTAAATCATTAAACTTAACAGAAAAGTAATTATGTGTATAAATTAAGAAGTAAAAAAAGGCAACGGGTGTCTCTTTCTTTTTATTTTAAATGCAGTGATTTTTTTCTTCCCTTACCTCCCCTGTGACTGTGTTGATGGCCTGTACATTGTTGGTGCCACTTCCTCCTGCCACCACTACGTCGTTATCACAGAACTGGGCGCAGTAAAGGTAAGCTCCATCATGTCCCTGGTAGTTGAAGGGCACGTCCTTCTCCAGCTTGCCCTCTGTATAATTCCAGACCTGTAGTGCATGTGTTGCTACCCATGATCCAGTTAAGATTTTCATCCCCTAAATAAAGAATATACTTGATTACAATCTGATAGTGCATCATAGAAAATCTTGCCCTCAATAAAAAAATATAAACTGAAGTTCCTCCTCCCCCCCCCCCCCCCCAAAAAAATTCCTCCGGTGAGATTGGGCTATAAAAGGGGCTCAAGATTTTCACATAGGATCAACTAAACATCACATACATTCATATATATTTTTCAAAAAGAACAATTCTTTGTTAAAGTTTGTCCATGTGTGTAAATTGCAGAGAGTGAAGTAAAGTATTGTGGCCAACAGGCCTTTTGTCTTTTGACTGAATTTATCATCTGTACTTGTACCTTAAGGTCCAGACTGTCCCCACAGATGTGGGGGCCATGAATTGTCCTTTTTACGCCATCATTAGAACGTGCATCCCAGATCTGTAAAGTAAATCAATGTAGCCCCAGGGTAATACTCAGTAATTATGATTAATAAACAATTGCTGGAACTAACAAGAGGATTATATTACATCAGTTCAGCTTGCTTTTGCTATTATTTTGCTATTGAGCTAGAATTTAGTCCATTTTTGCCCCTGCACTTTCAATATAAAACTGCACAAACAATAAACAGTGAGAAATTGCTGTCTCAGGTAGAAGTGTTTAATTATTACTAATTTCAAGATGGATTCCGCAGGAGGTAAAAATAAGCACAATTTGTAATCATTAACCAGCCTCCATTTACAGTCCATAAACATAAAAGCCTAATGATTTCAACTCTAAAGAAAAGCCTGATTGCATTTTATGTCTTTCCTCCCACAGATGATGTTATAATTGCTGTAAATCTATACCTGCATGTTTCTCACTGAAAGGTACTCACTGCCACCTTTATTTCATTTTTTATTTGACATTTCATTGCATGGTAGTAAAGACAATGAAAATCATACCCACAAAAGCAATTGTCAGAAACGCAACACTTAATAGTGCAACTACAAAATTTTTATAAGTCTGCATTTACATGTATCAACAAATCAATAGTTCATTCTACATTATGAAATCAGGAGGTATTATAAATTTATAGGCATTTATCAACAGGACTTGTCAGACATGGAGTAATGAATGACGACTACCTTAAGGTGATTTTCCCATCCACCTGTGATGAAAATGTCATCATACTCAGGGTGGTACTTAAGAGCGTAAACTCGCATTGCACACCCTGCTGTCTGAATTTCTGTTGGATTCTTTCTGTCATTATATCCTTCATATGTATGAACCACCTTAAAAATCAAAATGTTAAACAACCTTAAAATCAAAACAATGACAGCAATCCTACTACCTTAGAAAATAAAATACAGTCTGTACATACAAGGAAATTTGTTGATAAGCAAGCTGTTTAGAAAATAAGAATTAACTATGAATTTATGCACATATTAGGAGAATGCTAGCACATTCTATATTTAACAGTATGTGGACTGGAAGGGGGGATATGTGTCCTTGTGAGCTTCTTTGTTGAAGTCTTCTCAACATATTTCAGCAACATAAACATTATGACACACGTTCTGAGTACTTTAGCTTCAACTAGAACAAATAATACAACTATGTTTTTTCTTCTACAAGTACTATTATAACATTTGACATATTAATTAATTAACAACATGGATCCAGATAGCCAAGGGAAATCAATAGAATCGAGAAAACCTTTTTGAAATTTTATCAGAGATAAATATGTGTGTCTAAGCAAGTCAGAAAAACTCAAATATCCTGTATAAATTTGCTCAATTTCATACAAATATCACGTACCTGTCCTGTTTTGGAGTCATAAATTCTTACATTCAAGTCTCTCCCCCCAGTTGCAAATCGCAAGCCATCATAATCAAAATCTAGACAGTTAATTTCATTACCAATCTCTGTAAGACAACAAAAGTCAAAGGCATTTGTAAGTTAAAACTGACAGCTAGCATTCAAACAGTGCCAAATGTCAAATAGTTCAACTAATATCTATTAATACCTCTTTATGACCTTTTACACCACAAATTTTACTTCAGACATTTGTAGAGGTAAAACTGGCCTTAAAGTTTTATCTTTTCACTTACACAGTTAGTTATTCATGACCTCAATCTTTGAGCCAAAAATTGAACCTCATTACTTACTCTTAGCAAATATGAAAAAGAAAGCTGAAGACGATCTTTATTTGTCTTTTTTATTCTTTCAGATGAACATACATGCAAGCAAGTTGCCAACTGTAAATGTATATGTAATTCCTGAACTTGTTGTGAAAATAGCAAAAACGGTAGAGGTTGGAACCACTACTGAATCATTTGTGCTAGATTTTCTGACTCAGAATTCATCTTTTGTAATAATAACTACTGAAAACCTTAAGTGTGTTAATATGTGCAAAGGTTCAGCTACACCTTATACAATATGTTATATGAAAAACAGGGCTCCACCTAACCATATTTTGCAAAAATTACTTTAATATCAGGGCAGATCCAGGAATTTGGGTTGGGGGGGGGGGGTCTTCAGAGGCAAGGGGTCTGGGGAGGGGGGGGGGGGCAAAGATCCCAGAAGCTCCTGCATTTTAGAGATTTAAGAGTAAAATTTAAACTTATACTTAGTCTTCATAGGTGTACTTACACCTCTTCCAACAAATACAAACAAATTGTAGTATCAATAATCAAATTATGCAAAATTTCTCATCAAAAATTTTCTTTCTAGTCAAACTGATTTGCTCCTCATTGAGCTGGGGTTTGAGTCCATCTACTTATATTTCTTCGATTTTATCCCTCCCCCTTTTTTTCTTCGTGTGTGATATGCCTCTCGCCTCAATGCATGTCTTCTTGTTTTTGTAGTAATCAATAGGTTTGCAACTTTAGAAAATATTAGACAAAAAAATTGCATGATTTCTGAGTAAGAATGACCTTCCTGTGCAAATGAGAAAGGCAAGGAAAAAATACAGTCATGTAAATTGTTTTCATTTTCTTTGAATTTCATAAAACTTACATGTGAAACTGTCATTTTAAAAAATACTTTTAAGTACAATTTCAGAGCATTGTTTTAGTCAGGCATTTAATATCTATTTTCATCTTAATTATAATATCGTATAAATTTAAAATCATTCAAACTAAACTTTTTTTTAATATATGTATATGTTTACATCTAGCTGCAGAACTTGAACCCCCCTCCCCCCCCCCCAAAAAAAAAAATTAATTGGCAGATCATAGAGCTACACACAACTTTTGGACTTATTTTCCTAAAATGCCCTTTCTCAAAGTATTTTATGCCAAAAATTCTTATGACTTTTCACTAATTTTGTCACTTTATTTTTCTAAGAAATTCTTTAAATTGCCTTCATCAGCCACAGAAGAGCAAGTGCATTCAATTCTTGCTGATCCATAATGGATTTAAGAATTTTTTGGTATAAAGAAACTGATGGCAGGTTTTTATTGTAGAAGTAGACAATTAAGGAAACCATTCTCACCCCCCCCCCCCCTTTGATATTGATTGCTTGAAAAGTAAAATCCATATGAATAATGCTGGTTTTGCAAGTCAGCCAAATCTTGTAATCATATAAAGTTATCTATTTCAATGTATTTTGATATGTACATTTCAATAAAATGTATTATGACATTTTTTTTTTCCTTTATATTTTAAATTATATACATGTAACCTCATTTTTTATTTTAATTTTTTTTTTGGAAAGGGGGGGTTGCACTCCATCCCTCCTCTAAATCCTCCAGTGAATATTTCGTTTCATGAAATTTTATAGTTTAAATGCTGTGTACCTTTTGCAAACTCTGTAATTTCACCAGTGTTAGTGTTACAGGAGAAGATTTTTCCATCAGAGGTTGTTGCCAGTAGGATGTGATGTGCTTTAGGATGAAACCTCATACACATGATGGCCATTCCACCATAGCGAGATTTCCTCAGCTCGGACACTAACTCCCCTGTGGCAGAGCTGTACAACTGCAAGAATCACAGAATCAATCAACTGCAAGAACCTTTTTCAAAAACAGAATTTTGTAAAGGAGTTAACTAAGAAATATTGCAAAATAAATAGTCTTCAAATTATAATCATGAAATATCAAACATAATATAATGTAAATATCCCCCATGCATAAATTTCCATGTTTACGGAACCTATGACTAGATTTCTACATTACTGAACACTGCGGTAACACATAAATATCATTATCGATCAGACTGCTTCATTCACACAGAAATAGAGGAGAACATCAGATTTCTATTTGTATTTTGTCTTACTTTTATTAATTTGTGTTTTTCTTTACTTCACTTTTGTTATTGAAACCTTTAATTTTGCATTTGCCTGATGTTGCAGTGGACATTGATTTTTTTTCTTTTAAAAATAAAGCTGAAATCCTGTAAATGCAGTACTATTTAATGGCAGATGGTTAAGGAGAGATAACTGACACAGCTTCCATATATACTTCAAAGACTCAATTTTACTTTCTGCTGTCTGAGAATATTAAGTTTATCATTATATTACATTATACAATTATGGACTGTTTAGAAGGGAGACATCATGAATTGTCTCCCTGCACATGACATGCTCTAAACCAATCAGATTGACTGTATAATTCTAAAGGATAATAATACTTTTATATTTGTGTTGTGTTTATGATTCATTGTTCCTTATGATTATCATACTTTATAGATCTTTGTAAACTGAATTAATACTGCAGTAAGAATTTAATCTGGGTTTCCTTGGAAAAAGAGGAAAAAATGTGTAAGAATAAAGCAGTACTGATCAATGGCAGTTGTCTGAACAAAGTCCAAATCAATAATAATGAAATAATTAAAGTTAAAAATAGCTGTGTCCCTACCCTAATAGCCCCATTTCCATGGCCCACAGCCAGCTGTTCCCCATTGTAAGAGTACTGGAGGGAGTAGATATGGTCCAGGGCAGGGTCATAAGGAATCTCCTTAATTATCTCCAACTTCGTAAACTTTTCAGGCCAATTCTTACCTGCAAAAAAAAAACCAAAAACTTCTCTGTACTACAGATATACAAGTAGCTAAGGAGGAGTATTAAGTTATAAATTTTTATAAGTCATAAAGTTATGAAATCTTAGTGCTGAAGTTGATTATTATTTATTTGTATAGCTACTTTTCTTTGTGCTTTCAGTGTTTTCCCTAAGAACTGGCTACCGGCCAAATTGACCACTTCAGTTGATAAAAATGCCACTTTGAAATTAAAAAAATCAAATTTAATTGTCTTAAGGTCAACAGAGATTTGTCATAAACTTCAACCCAAGCCTGTTATAATTGATCTCTAACCCTTTACTTTGAAATAAAGGGAAAAAACTGACTTTTATTTATAAATTTAAGGTCTGAAAAATTGTATCTGAACTTAATGACTACATACTGGAACAATAATTTATCTATGGATGCATAAAGTATAACAATTGTAACAGGAAAGGGGAAAAATATGATGGACCAGACCAGGATTCGACTGTGAGTCAGGTGCTCTACCAACTGAACGATCTTCGAAGCCACTGGAGATCAAATCTGCCTGACATCCACATTCCTCCCCCCTTAAAGGTCTTCACCCCCAAAGACACCAACCCAGGCTCTTCCCTGGCAGGTCTTTCACACGTCACTTTCAGGGCATGGTCATGGCACCAAATGTAAAAGGAAAGGAGAAAAATGTGGTGACCAGGAATTGAACCCAGGACCCCTGAATCTCTAATAACTGAGCTATCTGGTCACTGTTGATCAAATCTGCCTGACAACCATACAATCAATATAATACTTGTATCAAATTGTTATGGAAGTAGACACATTAACATATACAAGTTTTAAACTTTTTTTAAGGGGATCAGGGTGTGCTAGAGAAATCCCTCTATGAGATGAATTTCTTCCATACTTAAAGCTTTCTAAGAAGCAAACTAACGTTTTGAACATCATCTCCAGGTAACAAAATCATCCCATTTATTGCAATGCAAGTCAGCTTTTTGTGGTTTTTCATCATCACAAACTGCGGGTTTTGATCTAACCCCTTTTCTATAAGTTCTGAAACAATATCCATTATTTTGTTCAACTCTTTTTCTTGGTATATCTAACTTTATCACTGATTCATGCTACACAGTAAAAGTAAAATTGTTTTTGTACAAAAATTTCAATGAAATCCTAAACTATACATAATGCTCAAATTTCTGCACACTGAACATGGTGAATACTACTATACTGCTCACACTATATATATTCTCTTTAGAGAAGTGCATGGACAGGCTTTTGCCTACATCCGTGTCCACTTCTCTAAAGAGACTAACACTATATAGTGTATATATATACAGTGATTGAGGAAGAAATCACTGTAACAAATTGCAAATAAAAAAGCTGACAGCTATAAATTGCACGTAATAAAAATGATGATTTTAAACCAGATTGAGTCAATCTCTAACATAAAATATTAAAATCGACAATTGAAAAAAATCTAATCCATACAGTTCATATTCTACACCTTAACAAAAAAAAATCAATAATAATTGATTTCATGTTCAAACATCGCAGGCTGAGATTAAATCTAGAGAATGAGTCTGGGGAATGTAAAATGAATTCTGTAAGGCTATTGGTTGACTGATTGACAATAAAATAACCACAGACGGGCTGATGTTGGATCTACTACTAGTAGTTATTAGCCCTGTCAACTGAACATCAGCACATTAAACAGAGAATGACTCTACAATAAATCTGACAAGGATAGAGGGAAATAAAGAGTCACTGAACAGATTTAACAATTGATCTGTCAATCATATTGGCACTGTGTAGAACCACTTCTGAAGACATTAACTGCTTAAACAATATTTAAAGAACTTAATCCTAAATGTTGATATAATTTACTGAATATATCTTACAAGTTATCATGATACATGTAATACTGTAAATCACTTTTTATTCACGAGAACTTTATTTTCCCATAATTACGCGAGACCGTCTCCTCGCGAAAATTTCCTTCTCGCGTATATTTTTATTTGTTAAGGATATATAGGACAACAGTCAGAATTCATGAAAATTTTGTTTCGCTTAGTGACAATTAAGTTGATGAAACAAGAATATCAACAGTCTCATTTAAAGTCATCATTTCACAAGTTCTATGGTCGATACAATGACCTTGTCAGCAAATACAATCTATCATTATGTCAAATGCTGACTGATGTATACTAATTGTTAGGCCATTATTTACACACTGAATCGTCTATAATTTTTTTCTTTTTTCCTGATCGTGACAAGGAGCACACAGCGGGTATGAGTGGTCGGCAGGGGATGCTCACTTCTCCATGGCACCTGATCCCAGATCTGATGTTTTAGAGGTCCGTGTTTGCTCTTGATTTGTATTGTTTGAATGGACTTATGAGCTTGAATACTGTTCGTTATCTCCCTATTTCATAGCAATAGAATCTGCCTGACCTCCACATTCCTCTCTCCTTTAATGTCTTTACTCCCAAAGACACCAACCCAGGCTCTTTCGTGGCACTAAATCTTTTATCTGTCACTTTCAGGACATGGCATTGGCTCCAAATGCAACATGTAGGGAAAAAATGTTAATGGAGCAGACCAGGAGATGCTCAACCAACTGAACTCTAGATAGGTGCCCTACCAACTGAACTCTAGACAGGTGGCCTATCAATTGAACTTTAGACAGGTGCCCTAGTGAGCTCTAGAAGGTGGTCTACCCAGTGAACTCTAAACAGGTGCCCTACAAACTGAGCTCTGGACAGGTATTCAACTAACTAAAACTCCAGGCAGGTGCCCTGCCAACTGAGCTCTAGACAAGTGCTCTCCCAAGTGAACTCTAGACAGGTGTCCTACCAACAGAGCTCTAGACAGGTGCTCTACTAACTGAATTCTAGACAGGTGCTCTACTAACTGAACTCGAGACAGGTGCTCTACCAACTGAACTCTAGAGACGTGCCCTACCAACTGAGCTCTAGACATGTGCTCTACTAACTGAACTCTAGACAGTGCTCTACTGAGCTATCTGGCCACTGGCTATTGGAACAGCCTGACCACATTTCTCCCTCCTTAAATGTCTTCTCTTCCCAAAGAAACCAACCCAGGCTCTTCCACCTGTCACTTTCAGACCAGAGATAAGTGGAAAGCCAGACTGGGATTCAAACCCCGGAGGCTTATGAATAACTTAAGAATAACATATATTGCTATACATAAAGTACATGTCTGTCTGCACTTTGAAATATTACTTCTGTCTGCAAAGTGAAGTATATACCTGTTTCTCTAGCATGTACTATCAGCAAACTATTCTTCAATCATATACAAGACATTTTTTATCTTCATATTGCCAATTGAAAACAGATGCATGCAAAATAATATCCATGATTGAGGTTTCCTGTTTACAAATCTTTGACAGCTAGCAGTTTTGTAACCATGAATATCCACAAGCTGAAGTTTCTTATGAATCTCATGGATATTTCTTATAGATGTATAAAAGCTAGTTTACAGAATACCTAATCTCTACACAATGCAGCAAATGCCTGCGTCTACAAGTGAAGAACATACCTGTATCTCCACCTGTCTGGATTCCCTTACCTTGCTCAATTACTTGTCCTGCCTGCAGTGCTTCTTGACGGCGTCGAGCCATTCTTCTTTTTCTTCAACAAACTTATATGTTTCTCAAAATAGGAAGCAGCCACAGGGTTTTCTGTACACGTATAATGTCTCTCTGCCTTAATACAGCCACGTTCAAATATCACTTACATATAATACATGTCCAAACCAGACACCTGCAGAACAGTTTTACGGAACTCAACCTGTTAAAAGATTTTAATGACTTTCAATTTGACAAACAGCTATTAAAATAAAAAGCTTGGCATCATTTACAAGAAGAAACTAAAGTTGTTCATTATAGATTAGTGTCATTAAGTTTTATGAAGAAATGTAATAAAATGTCCCTGTTTTGAATTTTCTGATCACCAAGTTTGAGGACATTTAAATTCCACATTCTTAGTGAAGAGTTAGCTCTATTAATCAATTCTGACACACTATACACTGTAGAATATTGAACTCACTGTGTAAAATGCATATATAATGAGGATTCTTAAAGCTTTATTTAATGGCAGAATAGTTTAAAGTCTCTTTTGTATACCTAGGTATGGACAATGTAGTTTTGTGGACTGTTTATAATTTGCTTTAGTACAGTGTTTTAACAGATATGTATATCAAAAATACAATGTTATTACATATCAATATATAACTTATGATAAATCAATCTAGTACTGGATTTTAAAATTGAACATATTTTATTCTATTATCATTATTCTACCTTTTGTAATTGTGAAGTTACATGACTTGCAATACATGTATAGATGTGAATAAATACTATAATAATTAAGTACTATATATCAGGGAGACCAGCATAATAAGTTTTTAGAACTTGTGCCAAATTCCTTTATAATTAGAAATTACAATGAAATATCTTTAAACCAATAAAGGGTAGAAAATTAATCAACAATTTTTTTTTCAAAACAAAATGAAAAAAGCTCCTTACCTTTTCGTGTACAAACTTCACAGTGCAAAAAAAAAGAAGATACAAACAATGCTATCCAATAAAGGTTACATGAGGTTTTTAAACCTGACTTTAAAAATATTTACTGAGAGAGCTTGTTGGTCATTGAATTCTAAGTGGAGCACTCTGTATACAAAGCCCAGGGTATTAGACTGAACAGTTTACAGCATAACCTTTAAATTAATAAGATCAATGATTGATCACAATACAATCTAAATAGCTGGCTCATTCTAGTTCTACGTAAAAGCCTAATCAAATTGTTTACAGTGTTGGCATCGTCATTTACTAAAGAGGTGAATTTAGATATTTATATTCTTTGCAGATTTCCGAGGGCAGATAAATGAAGATTTATTTTTTTCAAAGATTAAATGTACAGTCAAACCTTGTTATCTCAAACTTGATGGGACCGAAAAAAGAAATTTGAGGTGTTTGAAGATTTGAGATAGCAATGTTTAAAAACGTAAAGGAAAAGTTAATTGGGACTTTAAATTCACTTCGACATATCCATGGTATTTGCGATATCAGTGTTCAAAATACTGAAGTTCAAGTATATTTGTAATTGTGGAATCAGTTGTGTGTCTAAAACAGATCACATAATGATTTGTCTTAAGACACTACCAAATGCTTTAACACCTATGATACATTTTTAATCATATACTCAAGATTAACCCTGTAATTTTCCTATACCTGTTTTAAGTCAGATAAGACACACTTCGACTATTTTCAGTAAGCTTAATATCTTTTAAGCATTGTGACAAATACAGGAGATGTTTAAGATAAATCAATATACCGGTCTTTACACTTGTAATCTAGTCTTTAATTTCATAGTTTTCTACCAAAGTAGGAACAACTGAGTCAACAAATTTTGTAAAAAAAAAAAAAAAATAAAAAATAATATGTAAAATAATAACTATATTCAAATAGTCATATTTTCATTAATACAATATGCAGTGATCAGTGTGTCTCAGACTGTAAGTAGACCACCAATTTATTATCGATTTCAGGTGTCAAAAAAATATTGTGAGTTTTGTCTGGCTGTCTTCATTGTCATATTTCAAATGGAAGTTCATGATAAATGTAGAAGTAAGTTTCAGTTTGATATTAATTCTTATTCATTGTCTTCCTGGTAGTTCATGGTAAAGGGCAGTTAGTGTTGGGGAGTTGATTTTTCAGAACTTTCAAACCCACTAGGATTACTTTACAAACCCAACTTTGTCATGTTTGAAGCAATGATTGATACATGTATTGTGTTTCAAGTGATAATGGTATATATGAAAAGAAAATAAATATAGAAAAAATACAATGATGGACATTAAAGTGGTAAAATTTTCCATTTGAATGGAATGTTTTGAGCTTTCTTTTGAACATTGGTTGTTACCTAATGACACATCTAATTCTTCCAAAAGGAGAAAGTGGGTTATATTCTTATTTGTTTTAAATTAAATGAACATTAATTATTTATGAAAAAAATAACAACATGTATGCAGAAGCACTTTCAAAGGTGCATCTTCATCTTCCTAGAAACTCATTTCTCTAGCTGGCTCTATAAAGACAAATAAATCTAAACAGAAATAACAGACGATGACATATTGTAGGGGTAAGTCAGGGTGGGGAAATACCAGTCTGCATAGCGAAAGAGCCCTTGAATGTTGTAGATTTTCTCACATGCTTCAATCAAATACCTGTAGAACAGGTATTCCATAAATACAATAGCCAATCAGATGGGCAGTCTACATTAACACCAGGTAAATACAATAGCCAATCAGATGGGCAGTCTACATTAACACCAGGTAAATACAATAGCCAATCAGATGGGCAGTCTACATTAACACCAGGTTAACATGTGTTTGGTCAATACAGCTGTTGTGATAACTTCAACAAACATCATAAATACATCATTATGTACATATTCATTGCAATATGTGAGTTTTACAAAAACATGAAGTCTCTCACTCTCTCTCCTAACTGCATAAAATCTCCATTTCAGCAAATTTCGCCATGCTAGTAGCAGGGAGTGGGATGTCTTAAAACTTGTGATGAATATTGCTTTCTCAATTCTAAAGAAATGGGCACAGGGATTTTCCTCTGCCCCATGTAGAGCCCCAAATATAGGCCACATTCCCAATTGCAGCCCATCCCCCCCCCCCCCCCCCCCCCAAAAAAAAAAAGAAGAAAGAACTGCATATGTTCAATTTTTGACTTCACAAAAACTCAACAAAGTTACTTGATCAAAATACGTGGTCAGGTTTGGAAATCAATGGAATGACCAAAATTTTTAAGAAAGTTGATTGAAAGCAACTTTATTATACAATTGATCTATTCTCTGATTTATAGTTCTGAGTAATTAAATAAAAGATCAATTTTATTCATGATAAGTGTTTATTTCTTGAAAAACTTTATGAAATAAAATTTTCCAATAATTAAGTGGTAAAAAGTCTTTAAATTCTCAATTCCAAAATGGAATGGAAAATCTCTGGGCATGCAATTATGAAATGATCAACATACTATAAAGAGACCAAAAAGTTCCATTTAAATGAAAGAATCTCTACCATTTCAATGTGCATCATTGTAATTGATAAAAAATAAAACATAAAAAATATGGAACTGTGTGTTCCAAAGACTCGGTAAAAAATGATTTTCATTTTAAAATAAATTAAAAAATACATGTATTGAATGAGAGGGAGGAAATATTAAAATGGAACATAAAAAACAGGGGCAAGGTATTTTAAACATGTAGCAACAAAATATTTTATAAACCTGATGGGGTTGTTCACATTGACTTTTTTTAAGTTCAGGGATTAATCTAGATTTTGGGGAAAAATTCCCTTTCTGGAGAAACTGGGAAAATCAGCCGGGGGTATGGGGGCCACTCCAGACCCTCAGCGGGTGCAGGGTGAGCCCTACTTGGGGGCCCAATTGAATTTCAGCATTTTAATGACCATTTAGAATGCATAAAATAGCAAAGTAAAGCCATATTTCACATCTTCTGAAATTTTTACTTTGAATTTCCAGTTTCTATGGAGGAAAAAAAATTATTTGAGCTTTTATTATTGTAAGGGGAATTTTTTACTCATTAAAAGGGGAAAAGGGGATATTATGGGGAAATTTTCTCTTTGGGAAAAATACCAAATATCGGTAGTAAATATGCCCTAGATTAATCCCTAAAGTCCAACACCAATTTGGGAAATCTGGGTTGCCAGTCTGTTATCATTTGTGCAGATTAGAAAGGTGTTTGGTAAGTTACCAGTAAATCAGTTGATTGGGTGGATCTTAGCAGAGGGTTTTCTCTGCTTTAATATATACTCAAAGTGCTATTTTCACTAAATTAGATAAATTTTTAGAGAGAAAGATTATTATGGATAGAGAGACCTATCAGTCTGATGCATTTAATATATAATAACTATGACAAAAAATTCTCTCTAAAACCTTCCAATTCCACTGCAGGAATATTCGTAGAGGAAATTCGAGCAAAAATATGTACTCTCGCATACTTTAAAAGCTGTGTAGTTTAGGACGTAAATTATTGTGCTTGTTAAAAATTTTTAGGCTTTGTTTGTCACATACCTTTTTTGCTTTGGAACAAAAATGAAATAGTCAGATAATACACAGCGACAGGATCAAATGGTCAACTTGGTTGCTGCAGACGCTTTCTTGGTTCACTGAATATGCGCACAAAGACCGGAAACACTTTTCGAGTTACCTCTGATTTATATTAAAATTCAGAGAGGTCAATCATGGCGACGATTATATTTTTTTCAATGGAACCTCACATGTCTTGTGAAAAGTGTTGATTTTACTTGAATATGTAGTGAACATTGAGTTATTTATTCAATACTCATCTGATAGACAATTAAAGTGATCTATTTATGCATTGCTTTTACTCATCATGTCCACAGCAAATGAGGATTTGGAAAATAAATGATGACCTTCTAATTCCTTTGCGCTGTTAAGTCAGTTGGTTTCATTTTCAACCATGACATCGAAGAAAGAAGTTCGCATTTTACTTGTCGGAGATCGTAAGCATGATTTTCGAGACTGATATTTGTTTATATCTATTTAATCGAATGAAATTTGTCTTTCTTAAATATTGGGTGGAGAGCTGCAGCTGCTGATGTTGCATAATCATGAATATGATAGGGATGTTTCCTCTCATTTCCACTCCATGCATCCTTCTTAAGCTTGTGGTTAATGTAACACCGATTGAAATAATTGTGCTTAAAAAAAGATTTACAATCTACCATTAAAAGTGTTAAACAAACTGAAACTGAGTGATAGTAGTTAGGCTTAAGCTCCTGTCTGGCAGTTGTATGAATGTAATATTTTATAATTGATTTGTTCAGCTGGTGTTGGGAAGACCTCTTTGATACTAACTTTGGTGAGTGAAGAGTTTCCAGATGAAGTTCCAGCAAAAGCTGAGGAAATAACCATACCAGCAGATGTCACACCAGAGAGGGTTCCCACACATATAGTGGACTATAGCTGTAAGTTGTACATACATGTCACATGAGAAAGGGTTACCACACATACAGTGGACTATAGCTGTAAGTTATACATACATGTCACACTCCTAGACATATAGTGGACTAGAGCTGTGAGTTATACATACATGTCACACCAGAGAGGGTTCCCACACATATAGTGGACTATAGATGTAATATATACATACATGTCACATCAGAGAGGGTTCCTACACATATAGTGGACTATAGCTATAAATTATATGTACATGTCACATCAGAGAGGGTTCCCACACATAACTATAGATGTAAATTATACAGACAATGAGATAAGTTACATCAGAGAGGGTTCCCACACATATAGTGGACTATAGATGTAAGTTATACACACATGTCAGTGAGAGAGGTTTCCCACACATACAGTGGACTACAGCTGTAAGTTATACATGCATGTCACATCAGAGAAGGTTCCCACACATATAGTGGACTATAGATGTAAGTTATACATACATGTCACATGAGAGAGTGTTCCCACACTTATAGTGGACTATAGCTATAAATTATACATACATGTCACATCAGAGAGGATTCCCACACATAATTATAGATGTAAATTATACAAACATATGAAACAAGTTACATCAGAGAGTTTCCACACATATAGTGGACTATAGATGTAAGTTATACATACATGTCACACTCCTACACATATAGTGGACTATAGATGTAAGTTATACATACATGTCAATGAGAGAGGTTTCCCACACATATAGTGGACTGAAGCTGTAGGTTATACTACATACATGTCACACCCCCACACATATAGTGGACTATAGATGTAAGTCACATCAGAAAGAGTTCCCACACATATAGAGGACTAGGCCACAGTTAAAATATTGTTGGTTTGGCGTTGCCGACTTAGTCTTTATACGTTTGGGTCGGTAGGTAGGAAAATATTTTTTTTTAATTCAAATTTAAGAAATGGTACATGTTGTTAGTATCCAAACGACATGGGTTTCAGAGAGTTTAACAACAACCACAGTCCGAATTGATTCCCAGTTTTGTCATTGATTTTCAAACCCTATTAGTTTTAAACCTTTAATATACATGGTATTTAAAAATCACTGACATTAGTGTAAAGTCGTTATCATGTGTATGAATCCAAGCATGGCAGCTAGATTCATCTAGCAAATCGGACAGGACATTGTACCGTGAAATTTCTATTTCAAACTGGTATATCTTATTCATCAGTTTATTCTACTTTTAAAACCACATTATACCACAGAGAGTCATGCCATCAACTTCTGTTTTTACCGAGTTTACATTTAACTGCTTTCGACAGCCATGCTTGGATTCGTGATACGCATTTATTCAACATCACATAGATGCTTATAAATGAAAACTGTTTGATCAATCAAGCGTTTACATGATTCTTTCCCATTCTGTATATATTAGGCAAACGAACAAACACCAAAATCTGGATGAATATAACGAAATAAAAATTATGATCAGTATCTGTTGAAAAAATTCTTTGGACGCACCAATTTATGTGAGTCGGCCGGCAACGCCAAACAAAGCTAATTTTATTTTTGGCCCTATAGCTGTAAGTTATACATACATGTCACATGAGAGAGAGTTCCCACACATATAGTGGACTACAGCCGTAAGTTATACATACATGTCACACCCCCACACATATAGTGGACTATAGCTGTAAGTTATATACATACATGTCACATGAGAGAGTGTTCCCACACATATAGTGGACTATAGATGTAAGTCACATCAGAAAGAATTCCCACACATATTGAGGACTATAGCTGTAAGTTATACATACATGTCACACCAGAGAGGGTTCCCACACATATAGTGGACTGTAAGTTATATGTACATGTCAAATCAGAGAGAGTTCCCACATATATAGTGGACTACAGCTGTAAGTTATACATACCAGAGAGAGTTCCCACACATATAGTGGACTATAGCTGTAAGTTATACATACATGTCACACTCCTACACATATAGTGGATTATAGCTGTAAGTTATACATACATGTCACTCCCTACACATATTTTGGACTAAAGAGCTCTGTAAGTTAAGAATACATGACTGTTAAAAACCTCACACATGTAGTGGATTACAGCTCTAAGTTATACATGCCCAGAAATATATTTCTTTGAAGAATATCATTTTTCATTTTTATTTGTAGCACAAGAGCAAGATGAAGATGTTCTTCAAGAAGAATTGTCAAAGGTGAATTTTCATCCCTCTGATCATTCATATAAAATTTGGTTTTCACACTTAACACTAATGATTTTCCAAAAGAAATCTATTTTATAATTAAAATCCGCATAATTTTGGCATACTTTGCATTACAAATTTGAAAGAGTTATCTCTGTTATCTGTAGGTCATTTAACCTTACATGACATAAATTTTCTATTAATAAGAATAGCTTATGTAAGTTTCCTATTGGACAGAATTCCTTATACAAAGCATTTTTTAGTGTACTTGTATGGCTATATTTTTGATTTCTTAAGGACCCTCTATACACTAGAGGAAAATATTTTTTGGACATTGAGAAAATTATAGTGTGTAAAGGTGTAAGTATTGAGCTTATCTATCACATTTTCAACATAGGGTGCCTTGCATTTACCCCCAGGAAAAATGTTCTCAGACAATGAAGTACTGATGAGCATAAATCACTGTTGTTTACTTCCGTGGGCAAAATACCTGCAAATGAAGTGTTCTGTCTATTCATTTTGGCCTATTAAAGTGTTATGAATGCTTGATTTGATCACAAATTAAGTAATAAACTGTACATTTCAATTTATTTTATTCTTGATCAAAGGGCAGATCACTCTATCTGCATAAAAATACCACAAAATCAGAACTCTCTAGTGTGCAGTGTATAGAGGGCTCTTAAAGCTGAACACGACTCATAAATAGGCATACGTCATTTTTGAAAGTATCTACGATATAAACACCAGGATATACTCTTCGCATTCGTTACACCTGACTGCTTTAATATCACGGGTATTGGCGTGGAATGGCGACCTGTGTTCGTGCTGGTTATCTTGCATTACCTTTGTTTACATTTTATTGCAGTAACATGTATTTGTGTTTGTTTGTATACTGCACTGACCTGTGCAACTGTTGTAAGTTTCTTTGGTATCTTACTCTCCTGCATAAGAAGAAGTACTCAATTATTTTTTGTCGCTACCAAGTGCTATAGTAGATTACACTGAACAGTGACTAAGTGAGCGGCTTTATATAAGGGCCCTCAGATATAGCGAGAGACCATTCGAATATGACGTACACATTCCTTTTACGAATGTTCAGCTTTAAGAACATATACAGTGAGGACACAGGACTAAAATTTTTCACATTTTATTTCAAGTTATATGTATTTTAAATTATTTCAGTCCAATGTGGTTTGCATCATATACTCTGTGGATGATGATGACTCTATTGAAAGGGTAAGATTTTTTTTTTCTATACCACCGAGGTAAAATGGTGAGATTTTTTCCGTAATACACATTTTTAGGGTTCAATAAGTAGAAATTATCTAAGGAGGGTCAACTTATTTTCTGTTTTCGTAGAGTTTGTGTTTTCTTTTTAATTCTCTGGAGATGGGAATTGACAATTAATGGGAATTGACAATGTGAATAATTATTCTTAGCAGGGTCGTTATCCACTATTTACCCCAGGTTAGATGAAGTCCCACAAATTAATTAAACTCCTCAACATAAGCAAATAAAGTTTTTTTTTCCATTCTTTAGACCAGCAAAAGTTCTCTTAATGCCTGTGTGTGTCTATTACACATAAGCGTTTTTCATGAAAAAAGATCTAGAAGATACAATTCCCCACAACCATATTGATAAATTTACCTTATCATTTTTTTTCTTACATCATTAATGGAAACACCAAGGATGAGTTGCATTGTTGTTAACATTAATTTGATATAAAGGAATATTTCTATTTCTAATCGAGAAATGATTTTTTTTTCTATGAAAAGATTTCTCATTCCATGGTGAGGGGGAGATTTATACAGAGAATAGAAGTGTATCTCTACAATGATCTCAGGTCAAAAATAAGAAAAGAAAATCTTAACAGAACTTTTTCTGCATATAGATATTTTTTTTTCAATTGGCAAGGAGTTGACAAAAAAATTCCACTGGCAGCTGTATTCATTTTTATATAGCTCCAAGTGGGAGTTGAGAAATTTCCTCAGATAATTATACCCCCCGCAAACGAAGTTTAGGGGGGGTATATTGGAATCAGCATGTCCGTCTGTCTGTCCGTCTGTCTGTAGACAAGATTTTGTCCGGACCATTTCTTGGAAACTGTTGGAAGGATTTGTCTGAAAATTTGTACACTTATTATTCACCATATGAAGGTGTGCACCTGGTATTTTCATTATGATTGGATAATTATTTTGCATTTTACAGGTGTTTTTTTCATTTTTATTATGTGGTTTTGTCTGGATCTGTTCCCAGAGACTATTGCATAGATTTGTATGAAAATTTGTACACTTATTATTTACCATATGAAGATGTGCACCTGGTATTTTCAACATTATTTGATAATTTTTCTGCATTTTACAGGTGTTTTTTTTTTTTTATTTTTATTGACTTAGTCATTTCGGGTTCATGTCTAAGGTTTGAGACATAGAATCTAGAACATCTGTACAAAAATGTGAACTACAGCTTAAAACTACTCATTAGAGCTAAAAAAAACACAAAGTATTAAAAACAGTTTTTACATTACACAGCAGATAGTGTAAATCCATTTGTCCCTTGGGAGTAATGAGTGGACATGCATCCAGTTAAAGATTAATTAATGAGTTCAGTGTGGGAAGCTGTTAGGGCATCTCTGATCAAGCAGGTCTTATCTATATCTCAGGGGAATTGGGCAGAAAGAAATAAAGATCTCTGTTGTCTAAGTCTCTTAATTGTAATTTATGTCTGTCAAAATACATAGTTACTAAAACCAGCCTTTTATTTTTAAAATGAGTTTGATATAAAGGTATTAAAATCAATTTGATTTTCTATAATTAATTATGATATTTTTTTTTCAACAATCAATTTGCTGTGTGTCATGTCTCACAAAGATGGCAGATAGTTGCAAACTATTTTTTCAATGTAATAAAAAACACTGTAATTATTAGTGTTGATTTTTTATTAGGCTGCACCTTAGTTTCATTCATTTAATAAAGTGCCCCACCACAGCATGATACGCCCATCAAATATTGTTAAATTATCATAAACAGTTTAGATTCAATTGTTTGAATGACATCTTAGCGAGACAAGGCAGTCTGCAATTTGTTGTAAAGATATAAAAATTCAAATAAAAAATGTACAATAAATAATTAGTTCAAATTATATTATACAATATCATATAAGTTTTAATTATTATATACAATATCAAATTAGTTTTAATTACATCAAATTTATCTTGAAAGTAAGACTAGCCAACAAGAACAATTCAATACAACAAAAGCAATTAATTAAGAGACTGATTCCTTTTGCCCATTTCCCAAGAGATGTAGATAACACCTGCTTGATCAGAGATGCTCTGCCAGTTATCTCCTCACACTAAACTCATTAATTTATCTCTAATTTGACATGCAATTTTCTGCTATCAAAATTTTCCTTGACCAGTGCCTGATCATTACACCCATGGGAGAGGTGGAATTTTTGTTGTTACAGATTGCTGTAAAGAACATAATGAAAAAAATAAGACTAGTATTTTCTTGATTTAACACTTTTTTAATAAAGATACTGCAATACTCTGACATCTTTTGGGATTGTGTAATTTAAAAGTTAAAAGACATAGTTTTTTTATTCTAAGTCTAATGGTTTTCTAGTTATGATTTTTCCATATTTGGCCATAGCGTCTTTATTAAAGGTCAGAACGACGTGGTTTTAATGTGCGACACACCTTCTACCCTAGATGTATCAGCTGACAAAGTTTGATAATTCTAGGCATAATAGTATTAAAGTTATGAGCCGGACATGAAAAAGCTAACGGACGGACAAACATGAATGCTATAACATAATACGTCCCGTCGTAAGACGGACGTATAAAAATATATAATGAGTAATTAAATTTTCACTGTAAATGTTTAAGGAAATTGTGAACACCTCTCACATCTAGAAAACATTAGTGATTTGGTACTTTCTCTGAAAAACCCAGCGGGGGGTATTTGACCCTTTTGGATAGTTCTAGTTTTTCAATGGTATAACCCTAAGGCATTATATATTTTGCATGTTATAACAAAATTTGTTTGTGTTTATATAAAGCAGATTGTGGTCAGGTGTGCTCCAAAATAATTTGTTCAGTGTTCTTGCTTGTGAAGATGTAGAGGGGGAGTCAGGCGATTTTTTTTTTTTTTGTGCTATTAAATACATTTTATATCTTTAATATTGACAGATCACCTCTTATTGGTTGCCTTACATTCGGAATCACCTCGGGGAGGATCATAAGACTCCTGTTATATTGGTGGGAAACAAGTGTGATCTGATGGATTTTAGCACAGAGGAGGTCTGTCCACTCATCTTACTATTATCTTTGACACATGAACAGGACAGTCAATACACAAATTATTTTGTGTTCTACACTGTGTTGCTAGTAAAAATATGCATAACCCAGATATGTTACAGGTGTTTTGAATAAATTTAAAAAAAAATGTTTTGACTATGCAACCATAAAAAGGAATTTTGTTAACTGATTCAGTTCATGCCATGTACAATATATTTTTTTCAACTGTCCAATTTTATCATGGCAATTTGAGTTATAATATAAATCTTGTTTACTGCCTGGTTCAGCTGAAACAACCTACAATGTACATGATTTGTTTTGCTATTTAAGGTGATGCGACCTATAATGAATGATTTTGCTGAAGTGGAAACTTGTGTAGAGGTGATTGTTTTATCTACATGACTTTGATAATAAATATACAATACATTAAGGTTACAATTTATTCAAGGTGTGATTTTATTTTTTTTTTTTAAATTGTTTTTCCAATTTTCAGTGTTCAGCCAAAACTCTAAAAAACATCAGTGAGATGTTTTACTATGCTCAGAAGGCTGTACTACACCCAACAGCAGCTGTTTACAACTCAGAGGAAAAAGAGGTAGGTGGGAGAAAAGTGTTATGTTGTCAAATCAGGAAATTCTGAATTGTGGATTATTTATTATTTCTACAATGTATGTGACATACTGAACAATTTTTTTCTTGTTATCAATTTCAGCTAACATTGCAGTGCAAGAAAGCTCTCACTAGAATATTTAAGGTAGATCAACAAAGCTTTCAATATTTTATTTGTATTCATGTATCACATTTAATTACTATTGGTATATCCACATAATTTTACATTGCAGAAGAATTAATATGAAAATTAAATAATTCATTTTGATTGATTTCAGATCTGTGATTTAGATAATGACTCTATTTTAAATGATGATGAAGTGAACTTATTTCAAGTAAGTTTTGAACAGTATTAAAAATATTTTTGTTAATAGAATAAGAAATTTATTGGTCTTCTGTTTGTAAATTTGTAATCAGTATTGATGAATTCTGTGGAGTGTGTGTATTACACATGTATTATGCTGTCGATGTACTTTACAGTTAAAATGTTTCCATGCTCCCCTCCACGCCCAGTCACTGGAGGATGTGAAGGCCATAGTGAAAAGAAACATTTCTGATGGTGTAGTCAATAATGGTTTATCTCTCAAAGGTCAGTCTGAACACTGTGTTAATGTACGGAAAATTCGTTTAACTTTTGGGCTTTTAATGATTTCAGAATCTTTTTCTCAACTCTGTTGTTAACTTTATATATTTATTTTTTGAAAATTAATGTATTTGCAACTGCATTTTTGCATATAAGTAGCTACACCCCTGACATTTAAGCAAAGCTCATGAAAATTTTGTTAGGTGTAAAATTGACTTTCCTTTGGTAAACTAGTAAATATGATTTAATGTTGTACTCTCATAGTATTAAGTAAATTCATTTTTTATGTTTCTTTTTATTGACCAGGAATGTTTGACTTTTCTCATTATTGTACAGGATTTTTGTTTCTCCACACACTATTTATTCAAAGAGGCAGACATGAGACTACGTGGACTGTGTTACGGGCCTTTGGTTATGATGACAACCTACAACTCACTAAAGAATACTTATCACCCAAGTAACCATTTTTTTTATATCAACAATAAATTTTATTCACAATTAAATTGATTCATGCTTTGATAATTCTAACATTGAGAAAGGTAAAAACTTGATGGACAAGTGACTGCCAGTTATTTTTGTACATTAATGTGTATTGGTGCAATATCTGATTTTCATTCTATACTTTCTTAAGGTCTGACAACATGTTGCTCGAATATTTGTTTTGTGTATCTCTTTGTAATATACAACAAATTAATCATAATTATCATTATCTTATGATTTTTAAACTTTTTCAAGATGTCTAAGTAGATTTATAAAGACACCAAAAATTGTGATATTGGCAATGCTAGTGGTTTATGTAGGGTTATATAGTTTATAACATCCTCTGGTATCTTGCACAAATGCCTGGTAAGGTACCGCAATTTTTTGTGAGGAAACCTGCTAAAGTAGCAATACTTCAATGTGAATTTTTGAAAAAAAAAGTTATATACATGTATTATTGAGGAAGATGCCGTCTGACCTTAAGTTACATGTACATGTTTATGAAAAATTCATTGAAGCAATTTCTTTTTTCAGGATTCATGTTGGTTTAGGATGCACAACAGAATTATCTTTTCAAAGTCTACAGTTTCTTAAGATTTTATTCCAAAAATACGATGAGGTAGGATTTTATAAGAATATCATACATGTATGTGTTGCCACTTTTTGCTTTAGGTACTATGCATTAGCTAGGTACCATGGTAATTCTTGTAAGTAGTTATGAGGAGGATGATATATAAGTTTCTATCTGTTTTATCTTTTATACATGTGTATTAGTGAAGTAAAGATAATTTTACTCCATAGTATTTTAAGTATTTAAATTATGAGTAGCAATGGCAAGAGTTTTATTATGATGTTTTGTGTTGTGTCCTTAGACAAGACACTCTATCTGCATTGTCTCAGTCCACAAAGCTGCATTTGCTATCGGCTTACACTGAGAGTTAATCTGCAATGGACTGGTTCTCATCCAGGGGGGCTCAATGACTCTCATCTGCTTAGCACCACAGAAACTGGATATAAGCTCCAGCCTCATGGCTCGGAGAAAGATTTATCTGTTATATACAGTAAAACTTGGCCTGATTCACTAACCTGGTTACATGAATTTTACATTGTTATGATTTCAGGACAATGATGGCCACTTGTCTCCGCCAGAGTTACAGAACTTGTTCAGTACCTGTCCCATGATGCCCTGGGGTCCAGATGTTAACAACACAGTGTGTACCAATCATAATGGCTGGATATCATTACATGGATATCTGGCTCAGTGGGAGTAAGTTTTTTGCAAAACACAGTACAATATTGGAAAGTCAATTGTGAAAATGACTCTATTTATTTATGTCTATGTAAATAAATGGAGCATGTGAGCTCACTTGAGCCAAAGGCTGAAGTGAGTTTTTCTGAGATAAATATATTTGGTGTCTGTCTATTGTCTGTTAACTTTCAAAGTGAGTACATGTAATTTCCTTAAAATGTTAATTCATTTTTGAAAAAGGGAAGTGCGACTTATATGGGCATTGCTAGTATCTCCTTTAAAATGTAGAATGCACAAGCTATGAAAGTACTTGTCATTGAATGAATTATGAGAATATTCACTGATTTTCTATATTGCAGGTTAACTACACTTTTAGATGTCCCAAGGACAATAGAGTATCTAGCCTATTTAGGATATCGATACCTTAATGACAGCCAGTTATCAGCTGTCACGGTGACAAGAGACAAGAAAATCGACCTGGAAAAGAAACAGACCAGTAGGAATGTGTTCAGGTGTCATGTTTTAGGGGCCAAAGGAGTGGGAAAGGTACCAACACCTTATTACATTCATAGTATTCACTAAGCACTGTAGGTTTTAATTTTTTTTTATAACACCCTTTTGAAATTTTTCAGACATCTTTACTCCAAGGCCATTTAAACAGGAATCTTAGATATGTGGCTACTCTGAACAAAGAACACCTGTCAAGTTTCACTATTAACACAGTACAGGTGTATGGGCAGGAGAAATACTTACTGGTAAGTTCACTATTAACACAGTACAGGTGTATGGGCAGAAGAAATACTTACTGGTAAGTTCACCATTAACTCAGTACAGGTGTATGGGCAGGGGAAATACTTACTGGTAAGATGTTACAAACACTGTTTGCTGTTACATGTATTGAAATGTTAGAAAATATTTCATACTGATAAAATGATACATTATCTTTTAAGGTATTAGAAATACTCATTAGATGTGAGAAGCCAACTGGATGATAAAAAAGCTTTAGTGATGATTCTTGGACTTTTTTGATACATGTATTAACAACCATGGAATCAAGAATTTTAATCGCATGTGAATAAGTATCCCAAGAGTTTGAATTACATGTAATTGGACAAAATTCTTATTGAGTTGTGTATCTGTGATTAATTATAGCTACATGAAGTAGATGTGGCCGTTAGTGACATGTTGAACCCTACAGAGATGAACTGTGATGTGGCATGTCTAGTCTATGATGTCACCAACCCACGGACATTTGAATTTTGTGCCAGAATGTACATGGTAAAGGTCATATTTACATTTCCTTGAAAGATTTAATTATAAACCAAAGAAAAGTATGTTAGAAAATTGTTTTGTTCTCATTTCTTGTCTTTTTCCATTTCTTTTCCACATATATATATTGATACAACTTTCTGAGCAAAAAGTAAGTACATGTATTGTAGAAAAAAAAAACCATGGATATATGTATGTACAGTATCTAACTACTGGTTCATTGTCTTGTAGAAACATTTTCTGGACAGTCGTATACCAACTCTTGTGGTGGCCTGTAAGACAGAACATCCAGCCATCAGACAGGACTATATCATGACTCCAGCCCAGTTTTGTAATAAGTACAAACTCCCCCCTCCCCAGAGTTTTACCTGTATAGACAAGGTCAACAAGGAAGTGTACATCAAACTAGCCACCATGGCTGCATACCCGTAAGTCTCCAGCGTAACTCATCATACAGCCGCAACGTTAAATATTATACAGTAGATTCAGTCTTATGATATTCTTGTCATATCTCTAAGTGGTTCTCTTTAAGCATGAGTATCAAACCTGGTGATATTTTCTGGGTTTTCATTTTGCTTACTTTGTTGTAAACATATAACCCTGTCCTTTTTCAGCAACCTGAAACGTTTGGTCCATATGCTGCTTGTTCAGCAGAACCCACTCTGGCTACAAGAAAGATTAAGGTCTCTCTCAGTCTGTCCCATATATACTGGTGTATTCTGCATGTTGTGCTTGATAACAACAGTAATATTATGTAGTACATGTATCTATTTATTATATCTTCTTTCCATATTCACGGAGGTTTGACTTGTACATGCATGCATCACCAGGTGTTTTATTTTTTCATTCCTCAGTTCTGGTTTTCTTGTTTGGAATTCCTTGTTTCATGTAGGAAAAGGGGCAATAAGACTTTATTTTAGCCTTAGATAAATCTTCACCCTGATTGTTTCATGATCGATGTTGTCTAGTTACTGTTTAAGCTACAAACATTGGGTATGAAATGTGCATGTAGATCCCACTGTTGGATGTGTAATTATTGCATACAAATATCTGGATTTATAAACAAAAATAACTATTTGGTGAACAGCTTTTGAGCAATGTAACTTTGGTTGCAGGAAATCAACGAAACAGTGCCTAGATTATATTGACTTTAAGGGTTAAAAAGCTTTAAAAATTGGTTCCAATGTAATTAAAAGTTTTAAAAAAATCATGTTTATATATTATTATGAAGGGTTTGAAAGGTAGTAAGTGGTTCATGGTATTTAAGGATGTCAGATTTTTGTAATGTAAAAAGTAAAGCTATTGGGAGATCTGTGACTTTCTATTCATATGATAAAGTTTAAATATGATAAAGTGCTTAGTTTACTGTATAAAAATCCCTCCCTTATTGTCCCTATCTCTTTGTTCTGTATGTTTTTGTATGCTTTTTTGTTGGGTTCATGCCTGTTTTTAAGACTTGCCCAGAAATTTGAATTTATGTTTGCAATTAGAGGACATTTACCTGGGTAAGACTGACTATCACAGTTAAACTTAAGGTTTCTGTTTTTGCAGTTATTTCTAAAATTTATTGGAATTTTGTTTGGAAGATGGTATAAATTAAAATTCACATCGATCATATCAAAGTAAAAAGTACCAACTGAAGGTACTTTTTCGACATTTTTCAGTGTTATGCAATCATCATATTTTTATAAGTGCCAAAACTTTGTATACATGTACATGTACATCCAAGAACACTCATCAGACATTCAGTGCAGTACAATTATATAATAACCTATAATAAAATTTTACCTCATTGAAACCTGCCTTTTGCTGAAAGTATTATATAAAAATTGTTTATGGAAATTACAGTTAGATATATTTATCTCAGATTCATACTTGACAATGAAAGTTTGTAGTTTAACTACGTGTAAATATTCAACTACATCGGTGTACATAACTTGGTTATATTATATATATATTATATAGGGTGGATATGGAGAGGGGGAGGAGGGGGTATGCCCCATTTTAATCAGTATATTACAATAACTAGACATGATATAACTTATTTTGGTTTGTGAAACAGATGTGGTGCTATGTAAGTAATATATAATATATAGATTGACTTTTCTTGATCTTATTAACATTCTGAACTGACTAACAAATTCAATATGATATCAATTCTTTTTCTAAACCTTTGTGAATTGAAGATTGAGTCTTCTTGAAGTTTGTGTTGGTTTCCATTTGATGTTGTACTTTCCGCTAGTGTATTGTGTAATGATTAAAAATTATTTTTGAGGGCACCTTATAATCATAATCAGATGTGAAGAAGTGTTTTTCTTCCCCTGGTTCCTATTAAGTATAATAACTTTGGAAAATGAATAATTCATCTAGATCATAGATTTGATTTCAGAAATGACATGTTTAAAGTAAAAATTCATTCCTTTATTAATTACGTGTAATTCATGTGATTAGACTATAGAAAAGTAACAGAAATGGCTATTCTAATATAGGTCAAAGTGGAATTTATTTAAAGTTATTGACCAGTACACAAGACAGTAATACTCATTCCTTGAATATACTCCACCAGAAATGTTGAATGTTAAAACTGTGTAATTATTTTGTAGGCATGTAAGAGAGATTATATCTCGAGATGAGAGATTGTACCTGAAGATTGGTCTAGTCACTGCAGTTTTAGCTGGGCTGGGATTCCTAGTGTATCGAATGAACCGCTCCTCTAGTTAATAATCAACATACATCTCTAGTATCTGCTGACGATAGGCATGTCATATTGAGATGATGAATTGATTATACTCATGAAATGTGATCAAGTTAAACTTTGATATTGAAATACCTTAGTTACAAAGTACACTTAACTGAAACATTTTGAAATGTTTGAAGGATCTCTGATAAATGCAGAATTTTTTGCACCAAGCCACTGATCTGTACATTCTTCAGTGACTGTCACAGCATGTATCTATCATAAACATCATGTTAGAGTGGAACTATTTTATATGATACACTGCTGTTATGGAGGCCATTTGGTTGTGTTACAGGTTTTACTGTTGTGTACAATGTGTGTATGATACTCTGTGAGTTCTCAATCTGTAAACATGCATGGGTACTTTGATGTCAGATCATCATCATGTGGTCAAACCAAGGATAATTTATCATGTTGATTAATTTTATGCTAAAAAATGACATTAAGTACACTATTTCATTTAATATATTTGTACATGTATTTTAAGCAATATAATTGTATGCAGATGGGAAAAAAAGCCTTTGAACAAGGCAGAAAGTTGACAATAGATGCTTTTTCTTTTCGACCAATAGGTCCTTACTCCGACCTAGTTAATGTCTTTCGTTAAGCATTGTCAACTCTAAGAGATGTATAAGCATTACATTCATTGTAACTTTATAAGTACAACACAGAAGTCAGTATCCTTCTGAAAGTATTTTATTGCATTCTTCAATGTTACATTGAAAATCCCAGGAAAATGGACCACTGGGTATAAAGTATCAGAATCGATGAAATCACAATGTAAATCCAGTATAAATTAACTGATTTCTCTTTGTTAAAATTGAAACCAGGTGCTTTTTGGTTTAGCTGTTTAATACATATAAGACACACACAAAAAAAGAACATTTCATGTATGTATTACATTTAATTTAATATTTTGATAATTAGGAAAATTTTGTTTTTTACTCACTTTTCATTACTGCAGAATAAGAGGGGTTTGGTACTAGATCTTCAAGTGTATGCATGTTTCTAGGTAACTTTACTGTAACAGTGTAAATTACCTTTGAATAAAGATAAAGCAGAGTAATGTGTATGAGAGTTGTAATTTATAACATATATACATAATATACAAGTAGAGAGATGCGAAGTATTTTGTTTAACAGCCTGTTCGTGAATAATTAACAGTTTTACATCACAGATTATGCTCAGTGATAAAAGCATATTTTTTTTTAGATTTGTGAAGCCAAAGAATCAAGTGAGCAGTTCATAGTGAATTTTTAACATACATGTATACTGTACATATTGCTTTCTTGTCAGACATTTGTGAACTTGTTACTTTTTTCCATCTCCAAAATCACTTATCAGGGGCCAATTTTTCAGTAAAAGGATGTTAATTGCCATCAAATTAAAAACGTTGAGTATTAATAAATCTTTAAATTTATGCTTCAGTACTTGACTAAGTGAAAATTGGCTTTTACATTATTTTCAAGAAATGATATTTATTCGTTAATATTGAAATCCTGCTTTAGCACGTCATTTGCCAAGTGACATTTAGTATTGCTTTTATGAAGTTGTAAATACTCTGATTTCAATGAGCTTCCTGTCAATTGATTATTTTTATCATCAATTAACACCAAATTAATCTATGATTTCTTAATGTTTACCTGTTTAGCTGTTGATGCATCATCAGTGTGTTAAAATAAATATACCCCCATAGTACACAAACAAAGTAGGGGATACGTAGGAAACATTTTGACGTCTATTTTTCCAGCTGTCCATTCCTTTTTTTTTAATATCTTTGTCATAAAGAGACAATAGAAGTTCATATGTGATGGTGAGATAATGGTTGTTGGTGACCAAATACCATTTCATGACCTTGAATCAATCTCATTTTGACTAGGTCAAGGTCATAGGGCTCTGAAATATAAAATTTTTGTATGAGAAATATTTGTTTGTGTAATACTGTGTATACAGTAAGTCAAACATTAAATCCTTATACTGGGCACAAATGTGGCTTTCTTATACAGGGCACAAAATGTGGCTTTTGAGTTCTGACCAGAGGGTGTTTAATGTAGAAATGATAAAACCTTATACTGGGCACAAATGTGGCTTCTGACCAGAAGGTGTTTAATGTAGAATTGATAAAACCTTATACTGGGCACAAATGTGGCTTCTGACCAGAAGGTGTTTAATGGAGAAATGATAGAAATTCATATTTTTTCATGGCTCAGGTGTTGCAGATGACCATGGAGTGTGTCTTGACCTTGGACTAGGATTATTTTGACAAAATTCTTTTAAAAATTTTTTTAGGACCTTCAATATGTAATGGAGAAACAAATTCTTACTAGAGGGTACACATGTATGTGTCATGGTCCAGAACCAATTTGATCAAGGTCATGGTTGCAGATTTCCGAAGTTCAATTTCAAGAGCATACCTTTATAATGCAGGAATGATAGAAGCTAGCTACTTGGCACAGTTACTTTTGATTAGAGAATGTGTCATGACCTTGAGCCAATGCCATTTGATAAAAGGTCACAGGTTCAGAAGGTATATAAACTTTTATAATTCAATTAGCAATATGTCATACTTTGAAGGTTTATGACCACCCCCCCCCCCCCCCCCGAACTTTAAAGTTTATTTGTATTGAAAATACTGGATATATGCATTTGTTACAATACATATTATCAAATGGTTTATCAACATAAATTAGAAATATCACAAACGAAAAAAGTTTTGGCCACTTTTAACAAGAATCAACAAGGTACGAGTTAACAAAATTCCAAGATGACGGCCTCCATGGACGCCATGGATGGTGATCAGGGCTGTGAAAAAGGACATGTACTGGAAGAATTTAAAGAAATTGAGGAAGTAAAGAGTCTGATTGGATCTCTTAACAACATCTACAATGATCAAATCGCGAGAGAGGCGTCATGTGAAAGATTCACATGTAATGTGCATTTTTATTTTGCGATGACTCATATTTGTTTTTCATTAGAATTATCTCTGCAGTTTTGAAGTCACTGCAGACTTATTTCTTCCCATCTTAACAATACTTATTTCTTACTGGTTTACCTTGCTTGATTATAACGAAAGGGGGGGGGGTCAAAATTTTTATATGCTTTTTTGAGTATGTAACAGGAACAATGCACACTTATTTTATGAATATGGGCGAAACTAGCTGCAATAATGTAGACCTCTCCAATTTTTTTTTTTTTTTTTTTTTTTTTTTTTAATTTTTTTTTTGGGAGAGGGCTACAACTCCTTAGGATCTTCGTAATGGTGCAAGTGCGGGAGTGATTCACTACCGCACAGATTTCGGCTCAAATTATCAGTAAGTGGGTATTTTATTAACATATCTTACCTGAACTCATAAAATGTAGTTATGCAGGACATGAATTGATCCAAAAATATACAGAACAATCCGTATATCGGTTATTTTTCGTGTATGTCAACATCACAACTTGAATTTATCCGCCATGTTTACTGACCTTGATCGATTTTATTTTGGGACAACCAATGAGAATTTGGGATCTAGGGGAGCGGATCTGTATGGAATTCCCTTATTATAAGCATAAATATCACTGTTTATGATAAAAAAATCATGTGGAATGCTTTTATTTATCGATGTTTAGTTATATCATACTACACAAACATTTATCAACACCGACATTTACATTATCAAGTGATTCTAAATTTCAAGCCCAAGTCTCAGTACATCACGCGAGAACTGTCATGGCTGCTGAGGTGAACGACTGGAAAACACGCAGATTTATTTTACTTGGTTTTCGCGTATAAAGGGCTATGATGTTGATAGTGAATAAAAATTCCGTCTTATTGGAAGTAAGTTGAATGCAAAAACAATTTATTTTGCCTGCAGTCGCCCGTATCTAAAAAATATATTTGCACCATTACGGAGATGCAGTGGAATTGTAGCCCTCTCCTGAAAATATCAGATTAAAAAAATCTGAGAGGGCTACATTATTGCAGCTAGGGCGAAACAGTCAAACTGTTTTCCCGAGGTGGTAGGGATGATCTGGGAAACTGTTGACCGAGGCCTTCGGCTGTCGAAGGACAAGAGTTTGGCTGTTTCCTTAGTATCCATGATATAAGATACCTTACCTACTACATGATTTTTTAAGTAATAACATATAGGCTTATTAATCAATGGACTTTTTAAAAATATAACTTCTGTTGCAAAATCAACAACACTTTGTTACATTTCATGTAAACTTGAAACAAAATTTAAGAAGTTAAAATGAATTAAATCACCATATCATTTAGCATTGAATAAAAAAAAAATTCAACAAAAAAAGATTGTTCAGTAAATCTAACCATGCCAAAGTTTTCTGTGACTCTGATACAGATTGACAGTTTTACAATATGCAAAAATATTTTAGAATATGAGGAGACAGTTCAAAATGCCTAATTATAGTTTATATGTTAGGTCAGGTAATAATCATTCATGTCAGCTACAGCTACAGCCTGCTGTGACTTATTTTTATCCTATCCAGTTTGCTGGATCAAGAGTTCTGTGTTTCCTCACTTATATTAATATTATTAAACACAGTAAACTAATGTTAACTTTTTTCCCCTTTTCAGTCATTGTTGATCAGTATCAAGAACAACCTCACCTTATAGATCCACATCTTGGTATGCCAATAAATAACTTCATATTTTCACTTTTGAATGTTGAATATTGCATGAAATTTCTTAAACAAGGAACAAATTTTGTTGCATTTCAGAATCCTTAATGATGCAAATTGTTGATATTGTAAGAAAACCAAATTACCCACCTGCATTAAAACAGGAGGCTTACAAGTATTTGTATCTCATCACCAAGGTGAGTCTGTTTTCAATGATAGATGATGTCTGAATTTCAACTGTTCAATATACCAGCACTACCAAATACCAGAATCTTTATTTTTTATATAGATGAGAGGATTCAAAATTGTCATTCGCCATTTTCCGCATGAAGTGTCAGATGTTGAGCCAGTTCTGTCAGCAATGAGTCAGCAAGATCCACAGGATTTTCAGGTACATTATCTGAAAAATCTAATTATATAATCACAATCATTTAACACAAATTGGCCAGGAAAGGAAAATGTCCATTATATGATTCATTATATGATTTCCAGGTTAAATGTGAGCAGGTTTCCTTCTATGTCCAGTTGTTTTAACTTATTTATATAAGGGAACCTTTTGGTTTTAGAATCGTTAAACTTCATCCAGAAGTTTTTCTATAGCAAGCAATCATTAATCCTTGATATATAAAAGAATGTGATAAGATGAAAATATTTTGTTCAAGTCTTTTTGTTTATTATTGAGATTATCCAGCTACATTTAATAGATTTGGGAGACCCGGTACATGCTGTTACTGTATAGGGGATTAATTTCACGGGTTGTAATTTTCGCGATTTTTTCTCTTCTGACACGATCGCGGTTTGTTGAATTCGCGGATTTTTTGTTTACAAAAATTACCTCCCTATGTATATATTTTTCCATCGTTTTAGCAAGAACGACAACTCGTATTGTTATGTTGAAAACCAGTGTATGTCAGTGAGATGTATTTACTATATGATCTATACTCAAGGGGGGTTTAAATAAAGTGTTCAGTAGTAAAGTGTTCAGTAGATTTGTTCACTCGTTAGGAATCATGCTAAACTGGTTGAAATATGGGAAAATTAACTTTAAACCCCCTCCATCAGATTTACTTCCCAATCCGCGACAGTGCTCTGACAATGAGGAAGCTTGTGCATTTTCTTCGGCTAATGAAATGGTAGATGAAATACAGCGTACTGCTGATTCGGCTTCGGACTCTGCTCCTGAAAGTCAGTGCTCGTCTAAAAAACGAAAAAGAGAGGATTATGGACAGTATTCGCCAGAAACGAGAGGAAAAATGGCCAGATACTGTATAGATTCAGGACCCGCAAAAACAGCCCGTTTTTTTCCCAACAGCTAGGGCGAACGGTAAATGAGAGTACAGTTCGAAGCATAAAGAAAGCTTATTTGAAGGCTGTTAAAACACCGAATTCAGAAAATAAAAATACCCCTCCATCGTTACCCCGTTCACCAAGAGGCCGCCCATTGAAAGTCGAAATATATGACAAAATGATCCAGTTGTACATACGACAACTTCGATTAAAAGGTTCTGCTGTAAATTCCTCTGTTGTGATCGGGGCAGCAAGGGGAATTATTTCACACCAAAACAAATCTATTTTGGCCGAAAATGGGGGTCACATAGAACTGACAACCGAATGGGCTAAGTCATTGACGAAACGAATGGGGTTTTCGAAGCGCCGTGCCACCAAAGGGGTAAAATCTCTTCCAAGCGACTTTGATGACCTTTAGAACTCATTTGTTAAACGATTCCAAGAAGTTATGAAGGAAGATTCTATACCGGATGAGATGATAATAAATTGGGATCAAACGGGAGTAAATTTTGTTTCAT